CTATTCTGTCTAGTTATTAAACATTATTTATTGTTATATGTAATGTATTTTATTGTCATTTTTATGGTTGCATTGTATTTTTAACTCATATTATGTAGCTTTTATTTAGTTTTTATTTCTCTCTGTTACGGTCCACACTCATTCTTTCTTATTATCGTCCTTGAACCACAACTATTGTATGTATGTTAAAGCATGTGCAGCCTATCTTGCTATCGGCAGACACTTTAAACATTTCCATTGTTCTCAGGTTGTTTTCCACTGTTACCTTACATCGACCCTGTTCAGTTATACATGTTTGACTGTTCATTTTCACTTTATTTACATCCCGTTCTTCTTTAACATATCTGTGTATGGGCGCGCTGAGTGTGTAACCAGTCATGTGTTATTTATTTGATTGTTTGTTTGTTTTTGTTTTTTTCTGAGGATTTGTTGATTGTGGATAGTGTGTTTCTTTGTTGAGTGTATGATGTTGCCTGTTGGTGCAGTGATGTGGACATGAATTTCCCCTTTGGAGGACAATAAATTGAATTGAATTGAATTGAATATATTTCACTTTGTTGCTGCTGTGGCTCAATTCCCGTCATTAAGCTTTCAAATAATCAAACTCTAGTGACAGCTCGCCTACTAGAAACCACCTCCTCCTCCTCCTGACTGCTGCTGCTCTCCACTCAGGTCCAACCTGGATGCTGCCAGCGACGAATTGTTGCATAGCAACTGCCTGCTCAGCACCTATAGTGCTCCTCCTGTTCAGAGCCGGGGAACCTCAAAAGATGTCATTATGTGGGCAGAGTCGCCCACCTGGGTCAATGTCAGCCAGTAGCCAAGAGGGCTCTTATTCTCCTGCTCTCTCCTGTCTGCCAGTACAGGGTGTCGTACAATAACAGGGTTCACTCACTGAAATAGTTATAAATTAACATCAACTGTATTTCACTTCTCATATATCGAGGCGGAAAGATAAGTACATTTACTCGAGTACTTAAGTACAAATTTGAGGTACTTCACTTGAGTCTTTCTACTTCTGCTCCTCGATGGTCTGAGAGGGAAATATTACATTTATCTGACAGATTTACAAAACATATTAAGAGTTTATAAAATGTGATTAATATAGAAAAATAATACATAAAATGCTTCAGAAACCTTCGAATGGAGCAGAAAAGGCCTCATATGGCAGCCTCAGGGGTGACTGATTATGCTAATGATTAAATCTCTTGAGGTTTTTGTGAACAGGTTAAGAGTCATCAGGCTGAAAGAAGAAATGTACGACGCCTTTGATGAATCTGTGGACAGGAATAAGAATATGAGGATATCTCTATAGATATGTCGGCTGTTTATGTACAGTCGCTGTTTAAAAGATGTGTAATTGGATCCAGCTGCTAAAATGTCAAAGTTTAGATTAGTTTCAACAGCTGAAACCATTAAAGATGAGCTGAGTGGGATTAGTGTAATTACAGACAGATTGTAAACATCAGTCAGGTTGAAGAAGCTGCTGCTAACTCTAATGGCACGTTAAATAGGCATTTACCTTTTGTTGTGTATGTTCGAATCCCTTCTACAGGACAGGCGGGAAAATATCACACTACTGGATGTTAGAAACTGTTTACAAGAGTAAACACTGACGGAGCTGGATGACGCTAGCTTACTGTATCGAACTACGTTTGCTAGATAGCAAACAAGCTAATGGTAATGCCAGTTAAAACCACAATATCAGAATATATTTAACAATATGAACAGATTCTCTCTTAATGGGGAGAGCTTCACCCTGTTTGACCCACCAACCAATAGGATATATATATAGATATATAACATTTTAGTGTTTTAGAAATATTTGTCGGGACCTGGGACACGCAGCTTGAACCCGACAAACTACAGTGTTTCCTAAAGGATTTCGTGAGACTACGGTGGGTGGATGTAAGATTTCTTTTTACATTTTAAAGTTAAATGCATCAATCTGGTTAACAGTTTAATCATAAACACATTGGTTGTACAGATACGGATGGTGAAAACACAAAATCAACTGGAGCATACATCTGAGCCATCAAAGAAATTTAGCAAAAGTGGTTACCTGTGTTGAACAAGTTTATTTTGTAGCAAATAAAATAATAAATAATTAAACTGTAAGCTAAATTGTAATAAAAAATAAATTGGATTCGGAGGGTACATCATCAATTCGTGGTTAGTTGCAGCCTTAAGGGGAGACGCAGCAGGCAGAAACACTTTGGGGTATTTTGCTTCCATAACATGTCTTCTTTCAGACTAGTGGAAAGAAAACATCCAAAATACACATTTCTACAACTCTCCCTACATCCCTATTTACAGACTTTGCACCCCGAATTTGGACATTTAATTTTCCTGGGCTTTGAAAAGAACAGTTCTAATGCCCTTTGGTAGTTAAATTCCTCTGGACTCGGCCCATTGATGGAGACCCTCAGTGGACCCGGCCCATTGATGGAGACCCTCAGTGGACTCGGCCCATTGATGGAGACCCTCAGACAGCCAGCCAGGTGCTCTCCTTGCAGCCTGTTACGAAGGCTTGCTACCTCTGGAGCTTTTTCATCTGTGGTGGATTTCTCTCTCTCTTCTTGAAGTATTTAAAAATGCTCATGATCTGAAAATCAAGGGTACAAACATTAAGATTAAAACAGCAACGTTAGTGTTACTTCAACTTTATTAACAGAAATAGCCTGACGTTACCTGGTGAGGCAACTTGCTCCTCAGATGCTGGAAATACGTTAGTTACAAGGCTCGCGGGGTTAACTTACGTTGTCAGAGCCGCTGGTAATAACAAAGATTCTCTATATACATTTATACTTTCAGCTGGGGGGGGGCAGAGCCGACTGACTGACTTAAATTAATTTATTTGTATTTGATGTGTTTCAGCTGTAATATATTCAGTTTACTAAACTAGTTTTTGTATTTTTATTAATTTGCTAAATATTTTTTTTGTTTTTCTATATTTTCTACATTTCTGTGTCTATTTCTTTCTCCACTGTTTGCTTTTGCACTATAATTATGCGTTATGTGTAAATCTGTCATTATATTATATATTTTTTATATATTTTACTTGAATTTCCCTCGGGATAAATAAAGTATCTATCTATCTATATTTTATTAGTATATCTTATACTATATATACTGTACTAATGTGCCCTAACTGGTCCTCATCAGTAATATTTTCAGTGTAACTTCTTCTTTGTGGTGAGTGGTGGAAAATGTTGTTGTGACGACCGCGGGGCTGCTGGTCTGATAATGGCTGCCACTTTTAATGAAGCCCGGAAGGAGACGCCTTATCATAAAAGAGTTAAATACGCCTCCTTTAAAACTCAGATCGGTACGAGTTCCCGCTTCAGATTGTTACTTTACTTCATCTCCAGTTCCACCGCCGCTCTTCTCCTCTCAGACAGTTCGTTCTGTTAGTATTTGATCTCTGTTGTCCGTCACTTCTCTTCCAGAGACTGAAAATAAAACCTCAGTTTAATAAAGCAGAAGCTTCATTGAGACCTTGGAGTCTCCAGTCATCATTATTGATCATGTTACAGTGTTAAAATGCTGTTCTCTGTTCTACTGAAGGATTTATATTCTCAGTGTAATACAATAAATTATTATAACTCAAGAAAATAGCTGTAACTGAATTCATCAACACTAATTCAGTTTTGTAAGTTTAAAACATTCTTGTTTTTACTAACGTAACATTAATGATTTATTTTTTATTTGTTTTTACCAGGTATTGTGTTTTCACAGTCAAAATTAAAGGTTAGAAAAATTAAGTCACTTAAAATACTTAATATAAGAATGTTTTTCTCTTATGAAATATTTGAGTTAAATTAACTTATCAGATTTTACAGTTTCTGTTTCTTCTCCTTTAAATTTGACACATTTTTGTTTTAATCTGTTTATCATTTCGTTTTTACTGCAGTATTTTCATTTAATATGTACAAACATTCAGCGTCCAGTGTCTTCTTTGCACTCTTAGATGTCGCTGTAGAAGCCCAGTTCTGTAAAAACCTCCCGTACAATACCTCTTTTCTTCATTACAGTAAAATACATCTGTTTAAATTGAATTGTGTGTCATTTTTATGAAGCAGGAATATTTTACAGCATATTTTGATATAGTAATATTATAATATTGGTAACTGAAGATTATATAACACAATTATAAGTAGTTGTAATTAGTAATATATGAATGTAACTGACATATAACACAATAAATAGTGTTTTGTAGTTACACAGTAAATGTTCTATATTACAGTACAGTTACAGTAGTTAGGTTAGAAGTTATTTATTTAGATCCAGATCTGCTCACACAGATTAAAGACTTATAAGAAGTCCCTAACAATGTGTGCAGATCTGGATAATGAGTGACACACATGCTCAGGGTTAATATCTCTGTTAGGTGTTTTTATAATGAAATAAATACATAAATGAACTCGTTTTGAGGCTGTGATTGTGAACTGCTGTCCTGTAACTGAAAGATCACACATTGAATCCCCACAGCAGCCCGTAATGTACGTGTCCATTAACAGCTCTGTGTCCTCTCCGATAAGAGCGACAGCCAAGAGACTGAATGTGGAGGCTGTAGTGTGAACTCAGAAGACATCACATCTAACACATCGTCTACAGACGGTCGAAAAACGGTTCTTACAGCATAAAGCTGACCCACTATATCATATTCTTTTCATTTAAAGACCCAAACTAACCGTATATCTTAAATTCTGAGGACAAAATGTTCACTTGCTGCCTGATGTACCCCCCAGCTGACAGGAGCCCTGACACCCAGATAATCAGTGTTATTCTCTCCAGCTGTCAGTGCTGCCTGAGCGGCGGCGGGCTTTAGGACCCGGGGGCGACACGTGACGTATGACAACAACAGGAAGTCGGAAGTCACGTTGCTGGTAGGTGTGCGTTAGCCTCTGTAGCATTAGCTGTAGTTCGACAGGTAAAGGTGTTTGTTTTTAAAAGCTGTCGGAGACATTTCCCGCTCCTCTCCTGCTCGTGCCTGTCAGCGCGCGGACTCCGCCATCCTGTCTCGAGCTGCGCGCTGTTTTAAAAGTTAGCACGAGGGTTAGCACGCGGTGGCTAACTGTTAGCACGCGGGGGGGGGATTAAAGGTGGTAACTGGAGATTGTTTGGGGATAAATGGTGTTAAGGTGGAAGTGTGGAGATGTTCAGAGTCTGTTCTGTCTGTGGACAGTTTGTTGTTGTTGTTGTTGTTGTTGTGTTGTTGTCGGTGAGGGACATTAACAAACAGCTGAGAGTAACGTTTAGGTAACGTTTACCTGAGTATTTCCACCATATGGTAGTTAACTGACTAAATGACATCTTATAGTTATTTTATATTAGATTGAACAATAACAGAGAACAGCTGTGGTTCTTTATTGTTGTTGTTATTGTTGTTATTGTTGTTATTGTTGTTATTATTATGGATGCAGGATGAGGATTTCTTTCCTGCTGATAAGATAAGAAATAAGTTCATGTTTGTAATTTAAAACTGAGTTAATAACCTGCAGGTTTTACACACCTGAGGTTGTAGTTTTACATAACTCTGAGCTAACCTGTAACTATTGTAAACAACAACAAACAACAGCTCTGACTCTTCAAACGTATCAGTTTATTTCATATTGAGCTAAAGTGTAACTCTTGTAAAAAACTTGACAAAAATACTTTGTTACTCCAGCGTACTTTTATAGAACGTGTCAATCGAGTTTACATAAGAATTCAAAATAGATGATTATTAATATCAACCAATAATTTATTGGCTCTAATTGAATTATCCTGATAATTGATTCTGTGAATATAAACACTGTTCAGCTAAAGTTAAGATCTTAAATAATAACCTAAACTTTAAAAATAAGTATTTAATTTGACCTACTGTGTGTAATGAACAGCTTTCAGATCAATAATACGCTCTAACATCGATGCTTCAGTGTTAATGATCTGATAACACAGAATCACATTATCAGTAAACCTTTTGTTTTTTATATTTTAAGTACATTTTGACACTGAAAATGAACCAGTTTAATTATTGATTAACTGTTTCAGATCCAAACACACACATCCAATGTGAGACACTGATTTCACTCAAGCTTTATTTATACAGCGTGTTTCAGACAATTAAGCTTTACAAGTGATTAACAAAGCAGGATATTAACATTATATCTGTTTAATTTCTATATCAAAGATCTGTCTGTCAGCAATGCTGAAATAAAAGTTATTTATCAAACATCCTACTTTTACATTATATACTCTTGTTATTCAATACTAAGGTTTTGATTTGTAATTCTAGTTTTCTTTTCATATAAAACATAGAACTGCATTATAATTCCCACCATAGACGATACTGTTACGCCGTCATGTTGCTGAAAGGGCAGTTTGAGCCTCAGACTTGATATGTCAGATGTTACAGATGTAATCAGGAGCATCAGGTTATGTCTTTGTTGTTGTCGTGAAGCTGAATTACATTATTCCTTTTTTATCATACAAACATGGACAACAAATATGTGACAGAAGGTAATCAAAAACCTGAAATATGTTCACAGAAGACCCTTTTTAAATGTAAATGTGCCAGTTTAACGTGTTGGTCTGTAGTGTCACGATATGTTCAGCTGAGTGGGGAGCTGTGGAGCAGCGGAGGTCACATAAAGCTCGTACAACCACTAGAGAGAGACTGACTGCTGCAGGCAGCCTCGTGGTGAAACAGTTAGTTTGGAGCCGCTCTACTGTAACTCTCATGCATCCTGCTGTAAATGTTTCCTCAGTATGGGCCGATAGTCGCCCAGAAGGCATTAAGGCGAATAAAGAACAACAGAAAACATCGGCTATCGGCCAAATTGTTGTTTTTAAACATCGTATTGGCCCAGAACTCCACAATCAGTGCCTCTCTAGAAAACCCCTTGTATCATGATGTGTATCTAATCGCCAGATTCTTGCCAATACACAGCATGGTGGACAGAGTAGACCCTTGTTTTAATGTGGCATCGGCAAGTGTGACCCTATTAACGCCCCCCACTGGTTTGTGGAGTACTGGAGGTACTGCGGCTCTCCTGCTCACACAGGATCTGGTATTCCAGATAAACAGTAAAATGTGTTTGTGAACAGATTTGAGGAGAGAAACAGTCAACAACAGAATCTGGATCCATATCTGATCAGCTCTGTTTGACAGTTTGATCTGAGTTTGGTGCGTTGAGCTGGACGGACTCACTGAGAATGAGCTGTCAATCACAAGGTAGCCCCGCCCTAAAGCATACCCTGCTTTATGGTCTGTTTTACTCTAAATGGGACCATCAGTTACTAAATGAACACCATGCTGTATGGAAGAAGACTGAAACTAGAGACTGAGACCAGAAACTCATCAGGAAACTGTTTACTGAGCTCAGAAATCAAGTCAGAAGTCGACTCATTTCTCCATAAGACTGTATGGTATCAGTTTATATTGCAGCCAGTGGGGCTGCCCCCTGCTGGCCACTAGAAAGAATGCAGGTTTAAGACACTTCCACGTCGGCTTCACTTACACAGATTAATTCCATTAATTACAAACTGTCAGTGCTCATCAGGCGTTGGTTGCGGCTGCTGTCGTGATGCTGCAGCCCTCTGGAAGGAAAAGTTTAGATTTGAACCACTTGTAGGGAAAAAAAGCCACATTTTTATCAGAAAAATAAAACTCAGAGTAGCGTGTCATTCCTTTCGATGCATTTTTTTGTGCAATCATTTGTGATTTCGCTGTCACGTCTCTTGAGAAGCACATTCTGACATCCGTTATTTTGCTCCGTAACGACATTCCCAACCAGTCACACGGCAGAAAGTCCTTCAGAGGTGCCTCAGCCTGGTTATTTCTGTTTGATTGTTGTGCTGTCAAGTGGCTTTCAGCCAGTATTTGTGTCCCAGAGTGGCTGCCTGAGCTAATGACTGCATCACTGCCGGCCCAAACTGCCCATTAGGCCTCCAAGGTGAGCGGAAGCAGGGATTTTTTTTTTTTTTATAATGCTCTCCCTGCTGCCGTGGCCTAAAAAGCCGCGTCTGATGTTCTGCATGAGAGACAAATCCCATTTACGTCCCCCGGCAGTGGGCCCGGATCCTCCCGGCTTACAGTCAACACTGACACCCGTCCAATAATCACCTTAGCTCTGGCTGAGCGGGCGCGGTCATGGCCGGCGTCGCACCGCGAGGCTCGGTGGTCCGGAGATGAGTAAATATTCGGTGATAAGGTTAAAGAGATTATCCAGCAAATTACTTATTTCATATAAGTACCTCGTGTAAAGTCAGAGCGAAATGTCACTGAGACTTTTAGTTGCTCCATTAGTGGCGAGATGTCAGGTGGTCAGTCGGTCCAACACTGAAGGAACGCCACGGCTCTGATTTACCTGTGATACCGTTTTTATACACCTGCAGCGCCGCTTCTCACGGCCGCTAAAATAACCCATAACTTCGCTTTATAACCTGTACACCTGAGGGTAAGAAGAGACAAAGATGGATGATTTAATATTTTATATCTCTGATCGAACTGACATCACTACACTGTAAAAAAGAAAAGTTAAATAATTACAACTAAAAATTTAAATTTTTTTAACTTCAATGTTTAACAATATTTAATTTTTGAAATACTAATTTTTGTTCTCTCCAAAACTTAAAAATTCAACTTTATTTGTAAATTATCATTAAATGATTAATGTTTCATTTAAAATCATTTAAATGTTGCCGTGAAACTTTTACAGTTTATTGTTAACAACAAAAACAAATTTATTATTTTTTCTATTAAAAAAAACGTCAGTCAAAGTTTAGATTTCACTCGTTCTGCATTAGAATCCAAAATAATTTATCGGCTATAGTTTAACAATCCTGACAATTCAATTTAACATTATTTCCCCCTAATATCAGCCAGATATCAGATCGGCCTCGATAATTAAAGTTCATCGCTACTCTCTAAACTCACAAAAACGTCTTTATGAGTCTTAGATGTGTAAATATTCTCTGTCCCTGGAAACACACAAATATGAGGAATCAAACAGCTCTTCTGTTTCATTTGAATTTAACACATTAATGCTTCCTATAGGAAGGACAAACTGTGACCTTTCCTCTACCGCCACCTTCAGGCCGACAACATTAGATGAAATATCTCTTTATCAATCTGTTCTCCGGAGGATGAACCCTTTACCCAAACTGTACTGTGAGCTCCTCTGATGGGGTTTTAAGAATAGCTAAATCATCAGTTGTTTAAAAACCTCCGTATTGTGTGGTTTGATGAACACCACAGCCTCTAGGGGGCGCCACCAGGGCCTTCCACCCTGCCGTTTCCTCCCAGCAGCGTACGTTCGAGCCCGGCCCGCCGAACCGTCAGATCTCCATCTGCAGACGCCGCTCGTCCTTAATGAAGCACTCATCGGGAAAAATCAATCTGCTGCCGCCTCTGGGCCTTCTAATGGAAAAACAAACGTCTCTTTCATATTGATAATGGGATTCTGTAATTAGAGCTTCAGTTGTGCGGCGGACAGACACAAACACAAAGAGGACGGAGTTGACTTGTTTATCTGGGAGTGGGTTATGTTCAGTGTGATGCTGTCAAGCCTTTTTTCCACCTGGGAGACAAATAGGAGACTTTTATCTGGATAAAAGCTCTGCAGAGGCTGAACTCTCGGCAATGACGCAGAGGACTGTCCTGCTGGTAATTATGGGTAATCTGCAGGAAGAGTCTCACTGACACGGAGAGGGAAAGTCCATTTCTGAGGCCACCTTGTGCTTATCGAGGCAGGTTGAAGTGAACTTTGGGTCCCGGTCAGACCGTGACATTTACTGAAACATCCTGGAGCTCTGGCCTTTTACATTCTCCTGAACATGAAGGCGACTTCTCGTCTGTGCCCGACTTTAAAGGACACTTCCACTGTGAGACGACTCTCACAAG